GTAAAATTGGGTGATTTCTCAAGCTTTGGTTTTTAGTAGCAATCTTTGCTATTTTCTTGCTTTTTAATCTGCCAAATTATTTGGTTTTTCCTGATAGCAAAAGTACTATTAAAACACTTGTTGAATGAAATTGGCTATGAGGTGCTACTGAAATCTGAGGCCCTTGTCTACCGCAGACTTTCTGACTCTTCTCCCACAGTGTAATCCATGATAGAACATGGCTTCTAGAGAAAGAGAATTTTATAACAGCAGAACCAAGCAGATAAGCATTTGTACTTTAGGGTAAATGAAATTATTGCCAAAAAGATGGCCCAGTTGATTAGGAATGTGGATATGTTCACGCTGAGTTACAAGTAATCATACCGTACTTTTAAAATAAAATGTAGGGGCGCCTGGGTGGCTCAGGCGGTTAAACGTCCAACTCTTGGTTTTGGCTCAGGTCATGATCTCAGAGTTGTGAGATCGAGGCCCGAGTTGGGCTCTACGCTGGACCTGGTTAAGAATCTTTCTCTCCCTCTCCTCTGTCCCTCCCCCCACCCAACTGCTCATGCACGCACACTCTCTCTCTCTTTAAAAAAAATAAATAAATAAAAATAAAATAAAATGCAATTGGAAACAGCAACTATTTTCTTCTTTTACTTTGCCTTGAGTTACACATCTGATTTATCTTGGTGGAAAGACTGAGGATACCCAAGTCTAGGAAGTCACGGTGCCTGGAGTAAAAACCACTTGGCTCTGCCTCTCACTTGCTGTGTAACCCTAATCAGTTCACTTATAGCTCTCTGGACCGCAGGTTCCTCATCAGTAAAATAAGAGAATTATTTCGAATTATGTCTAAGACCCAGGCCTCCATGACTAAGCATTACTGTTTGCCATTATCTGGTTCTCCTCCCGGTCTGGAGCTACACAACTAGTTCTGGCCTATCAGATAGAAGGAGAGGTGCTGTATCACTTCCATGCTGTGGAAACCTGTGTACAACTCTTCAGTTTCTCTGCCCTGCCAAAACTATAGAGAAGCTTACGTGTTCCAGGTGATGTAGCCAGAAGATAGTGGAGCCACTCTGCCTGGACCTACTTTGAGCCTATAACATAAGCATGACATATATTTGAGTTATATGAAGCCATTGGAATTTGACATTAATTCATTCTGCCGCATAACCTAACTTATCCTAATAAATCAGATCTAACTTTCTATGGTTTTGTGGGTCATTCCTTCCATATTATGCAGGTTTTTTCTACTATATTATATCTGAATAAGAGTACTATGAAGTAATTTGAAGCCCACAGCTTTTTTTTCAAATGATCAAATAAGTTGGTACCTATTAAATCAGTCTTTAAACACAAATCCCTATCATTACCCTCTATTTTAGCTTGCATCTCTGAAAGATCGATTTCTGACATACTTTCTGATCCCCAATTATTTGGATTCTGTTTTTTAACAGAGAAAGCAGCTGGTTTATTTCCTCATTCAGAGTATCTCTCCCTAGCTGTTTTAAGCATGAAATTGTATAGAAAAATACACCTTTGCTTTATTTCTAGCTTTTCAATAAGTTTTGACAGTCTGTATAAAGAGATGACTATTACCATAAGACTGCCACATGTCTCTAAGGAAGGTTCAAACAAAGCCTATTCCTTGAGCATGAAGTAGGTCTCTCTTTCTGATAAAGAAACTTTCTTAGAAACAGTACCCAACTCATTGGCTTACAACTTAAATGAAGATGTTTTGGTTGGACACAGTAACCATTGTTTTGAATGGCAGAGATAATTGTATTGAAATAGTGCCTTAATGCTTTGAGAATAAAATTTGCAAAAAAAAAAAAATTTTGCTCAAAAGAATTTCAATTTACAGCTTTTCATACCATAGAAAATATGACATTTCCATGCCTGAGATGTTAGTCTGATCTTGCCTGGAACTTGGAGGCAGGCCAGCTACATAACTTATGAGACCAATGCAAAATGCAAATGTGGGACCGCTTGTTCAAAAAGTAGGATGAAGAAAAAAAGTAGGAGGAAAATGTACAGTTAAAGATACTAAAATACAAAGCTTTTTCCTTTAAGAAGAAATTTATAAATCATGACCAATAATGGTGATATATGAGTAATAGAACAAACCTACAGATAGCAAAAAAAAATGTATATTTTTGAGGTCATGATTTTATATAATAAATACTTTATTAATGTGATGACTGATCATAAGATTTTTCTGGCTCACTTTTCTTTAAATTCATTTATTAGATCATCAAAATCGATACATTTAGCAACTTTATTTTAAATGATACAACTAAAAGCAAATCAGTCACTCTTGGCAAATGAAAGATCACACATAATTTTTGGTAATTTTTAATTTTGAGAAGAATCTTTCTGCTGATCCACTGACACTGGAGCTGTTGGGAATATTTTATAGGCTGTGGCAGCACTAGGATAGATTTCTGATAAATGATTTCAAAACATAAATTCTAGTACCTCTTGAGCTGATGACACAGAACAATTTTTCTAAAAAGGTACAACTCTTTATACACATTAGTTTTATGTATGTCAAAAATCTAATTTTAAATAGAAGTTTGTTCAATGTTGTTTTTCTCTGGTATGTCCCATAACTTGTAGAGGTCATAACAGAAACCAAAATCACTTAACAATTTGTATATAATTCAAAACTCCTACCTATGCTTTCTATTGCTGTATCTTCCATGACAAAGAAAAATTAATTTTAAAATTGTCATCCTCATTAATTGGTTCATTTGAAGCTGCATATGAAAATAGTATTGTTTTCCATCAGATGCAACAATCTTTACATTTAATTTCTAAACCCGTGGATATTTACTTTGCAGTGGTGCAGCTGGTTTTGGGGGGGGTGGGTTTCTGGGTTTTTTGTTTTTTGTTTTTGTTTTTTTTTTAGAGAGAGCACACGTGTGAGTCGGGGGAAGGGGTAAAGGGCAGAGGGAGAGAGAATCCTAAGCAAGCTCCATGCCCAGCACAGAGCCTAATGCAGGGCTCGATCCCAGGACCCTGAGATCATGACCGAAGCCAAAATCAAGAGTCTGACACCTAACTGACTGAGCCACCCAGGTGCCCCAGGGCAGCAGGTTTTAAAACCTGATTCTGAACTCTTTGAAGAATTCTTCTATCTCTTCTTATATCTGTGTATGCTTTTATATTATAATATTTTACTGATGTATATTACATAAATGCTACCATTCTCATCTTAGTGCCCAGGCCAGAGAGCTAGTATTTTTTTTTGTTATAATTTTTTTTATGACTGAACTACTATAAATCCACAAGCAATGGTTCAGACGCAGTGCTTCCAAAGTAGTTCACCCCTCCCCACCAGGCTCAAGCTGCATCAAGGAGAGCGCAGACTGCCCCACCTCTGCTCAGGCATCAGGAGACAGAAGGGGCCATTTACTGCTGAGCGCCAGTATTTTGCCTTGGGGATAGGTTCTGGGAAAAGACAGGCAAGCCAGCAAATGCTACCACGACTGCTCCTCCTGCTGCCACCATCATTATCACCAGAATGGGCCCAGGTCCCAGCCCCAACCACACCCTCAGATCCCTGCAGCGCCCCAGGCTTCTTTGGGCAGGAACGTGCACACCAGACCTGGAGTCAGGCAGGCAGGCAGGCAGGCCAACTGTTTGGCATACACACTGCCCATTGTCCACTGTGCCTGTGGGCCTGGAACCACATATGTACACCCAGCTTATCTCCTCTGTTCACACACCTGCTTCCTTGTCCCATCAGACTTCATTTGTAAACACAAAGTCAAAGATACAATCAAGAGTTTCAAGACTGCAACAGAAGAGCATTAAGCCAAGTCCATGGCCCTGTGTGACTGCTTGAGACTTCATGGTATATCTGTAGAAATTACTTGGCCCCTTGTATGAATGAGTATGGAGGCAGATACATTTATGCCTTTGACTTTCCCTGGTGGGAATACATACAAATGGGTCATGGATGAGGGTGTTACTGACCACTAGTAGTTTCTCTCTCTGCTGCTTAAGCCTACCCTTTTTGATGAAAGTGCTGGACACCAAGGCAGTCTTTCTTTGGAGGGAGCTCTTCATAGATTCAGATGAGAGTTTCTTTTCCCAAGATTCTAGAGAGAGTGGGAGTGAGACAGCAGGACGGAACTAGCATTTATTATTTATGTTAATTTATACCAACCGACTCATTTAATCCTAACAGGAGTTCTGTTAGCCCCTTATGCATGAGAATCTGAACTGAGAGGTTGAAGAACTTTCCCAAGATCACACAGCCTGAAAATGGTAGAGCAGAGATTTAAACCAGGCAGCTTTAATGTCCTGAATGAGAGCACTGGAGACAAATTATCTGGGTCCAAATCCTGACTGTGCCATATAATGGCTTCATGTTGGATGAGTTCCTTCCCTGAGCCTCGGTTTCCTCATGTATATAGTAGAGATCAGACTAGTAGCGTACCTACTTCATGTTCAGAGGGTTAAATGAAGGTTGAATACATGTAAAGCATTAAGAACAGTGCCTGGTGGGGCACCTGGGTGGCTCAGTCACATCGGCCTTCGGCTCAGGTCATGATCCCAGGGTCCTGGGATCGAGCCCTGAATTGGGGTCCTTGCTCAGCAGGGAGCCTGCTTCTCCTCTCCCTCTGCCTGCCTCTTTGCCTACTTGTGCTCTCTCTAGCAAATAAATAAATAAAATCTTTAAAAAAAAAAAAGGACACTGCCTAGCACTTAGTAAGCCTATGGTAAATCTACTAGTGCCAGCATTACTGGCACTCCCTGCCCACTCCACAGCCTCTCTTCACAGCTGAGAAAAGAATGTTGGTGATCAGCAGAAGAGAAGAGCTTACAGGCAGGCAGCGGGGGCCTTCTGCTGTTTACCCTCCCTAAAATTCCCCTCGCAGGCCCTCTTACACGTGATGTGATCGGTGATCTGATTCTTGCTCCTGGCCCCCCCATCTCTATAGGCTTCTTGGATTCTAATGTTCCACTGGTCTGATCGTTTTCTGTCTGGGCCGTGTGTGTTGCAGGTATGAGACATCTCTGCTGGATTTGGTTCAATCCCTGAGTCCAAAGTCTGCTCCCAAACCTCAGCCCCATCCCTCCAGAGAAGCTGGGGCCTGGAATCACAGTACTCGTCGACTCAGTCCTCGAAAATCAATCTGGAACAAGATGGGGACAGGCAGGACCCCCGAAGACCTAGAGGAGAATCAAATTCTGGAAGATATCTTTTTCATTTGACGTTGAAACACACGCTACAAATTTCCATCCGAAATGTGTTTGCTTCTCAATATCCTGATCTAGGATTTTAAATTATTTGATTGCAAAGTAACCGTGTCTCTTCTTTCACAGGGGTCTCTCTCACTGACATCCTGTTACATGTTGAACATAGTAATCATGCTACAAACCCAGAGTGGTTTTGATCAGACCCATCAGCAGGTAACACATTAAGGGGGGATAGAGGTGGAGGGCAGTATCTTTTCTATGCCAAGCAGAGATTAGAAAATTAACATAGGACATTTTCTACATGCAAAGGCCTTTGGATATTCAGCCTCATTTCCAGAGTGTTTCCTTCTTCATACTTTGTTAGAAGAGGCTGGCTTTCTTTTGTACACAAGGAAGACCTTTTCACGGAAAGATTCCCTCTGATTTAAAAGTAGCCCTTTTGTAACATAAGCAGTTTCAGAAAGACAGACTCTTTACCTCTCCACCTCTCCTTTACCTCTATTCCCTCATTGCCTACTTCTATGCACATGTAGTCATTTAATTCCGAAGTTGGAGTTGGTGCCCTACCATCACAAGCAACAATGAGGACCAGTTGTGAGTCAGTTCCAGTGGTCATCAGCCCTTAACCAAAGGGCACAATGGGCTGGAGGGAGGGATCCAACCAACCCTTGGAAATCAGCATTAAGTCATGTAACAGAGTGACTGCCCTCAGGAAATAAAATGGAGGCACAGGACTGACATGTTTTCCCTGCCACCCACCCATTTCCCAGGATAAATAAGAGCAAGAGCTCAGTACTTTTTATTGACCTAAGTGTCTATATTTGTGAGCTGCCCATGGCTGTGTCTGGGGGAGAAGCCACTAGAGAGGAGTATCAGCTGCCACAGGCTGAGAGGCTTTCCCTGGTCCTCCCTCTTACTTCATGAGGACCAAAGGCCCTAGATTGATCAGGCCTTTTGGATGCTCTGCTCAGAGTCACTCTCCCGTGATCCCAAAGAACCGTCTCTCCCTGCCAGATTCTCCTCCGCCACCCCCAAGCAGAATCCTCCTGGTCTTTCCAATCTTTCCCACTGGGTCCTCCATTTGACCCAGAAAAGGCCTGGGGAAGAAGTACACTTGAGACCTCATTCTCTCTCTGTTCTCCTATTTGGCAGAGCTCTTGAGATGGGTCCTTCAGCTTACAGTGGGCTCTAGTGCACTCTCATGCCGATGGGCAGCATGATGAGCCTGGTAGAGCCAGTGAGTTAACAACCTCCCAGTCATTGGAAGCAAGGGAGGTGTGTCCCCAGATGTGTCTACTTGATGACTTTATTTGATCTGGAGGGTGTCGCTTTCTGTTTCTCTCTCCCTTTCACTGAATGCCAGGCTTGAAGTGGGATCAAGAGTCTTTTTCAGTCAGCATTGGTAGCCAAGGTCAGACCACCCAGGGTGAACTGCATTTAGTGAGCCTGCATGGCTTCCCTGAATTCTTTATCAAAACTAGATATCAACCTACAAAAGCCTTGTTAAAAGAGATTCCTTATCTGGGTAGATCAAAATCTCATTGTCTCTTCAGGCTGAGGCCCTAACACCTCTACTCAGCCTTCCTTCACTTGGGTCTTTTTGCTCTTGGGGGAAGATAAGAATGGGATCTACCAACACCAGTCCTTAATCTCAGGTCAGGATTGACTGACTAGTTTTAGGCATCCAGTTGAAAAGTTGAAAAAGCACTGCAGATTAAAGTATCCTTTTAAAGTTCACCCCATGACAGAAACTGAGTCAATTTCATCCCATTTCAGAAAGCATTTGGAAAATTGAGTTTCCTTTGGTGTGGCAAAATGGGAAGAAACAAACTGAGAGCCCTCAGCCATTTTCTCAGTTAAATTTAGGTTTCCAGAACTATCTTCTCCTTGCTTCAGGTGTCAAGAGCACCTTAAGTACATCCAGCTCCCTTGGATCAGCCATAACTACACTCTGCCACTTGGACACCAGTGACGTTACAGGTCTCTAGAATAAGGGCATGCCAGGAGGATCAACAAAAGGATGATGCTGTCTTTAAGAAGCTTGTTTGCCTTCAGAAGAATCATAAATGAGACAAACTAAGGGCTTTTGGCAGGGGGCAGGGGTGGTCATGTGCCACAGATTGGAGTTTAAGTGCTTCTTTACCTCCCCCTGCATGAGCAGTTTGGAAGAGCAAAGATGGGTTTTCAGCAGAGCGTCAATCACGTCAATCAATATATTTTTCATATGCTACATCCCCCCCACCGGTTGCCTTTCTCTATCCTGTAGGCCCTTCCTGTGTGTCAGGGCAACAGGATGTGAATTTGTGTCTAATCCAGTGTCTTCCTTATGAACTGAACAGTTTTTTATTTTATACGGTTTATTTTAACATCTTCATCTGTCTGACTTTGAGACACACATATATATGAAAAGGTTGTTGTAGAGCCTTGAGGCTGTTGTGGAGCCTGGAAGCTTGACCTAATTGCAGATATCCTACAGAGAGAGGGTCTGACACAGAGGAGTCTGCCTTTCTTCCTGGTAGAGTACTCACAACAGTGACTTGTTGCCTCCAGCTGCTTCCTCAGAGCAAGACTAGACACATATTAGGGGTGCTGCAGATAATGCCCCAACATTGCCCACTCTGCTGGTTGGGCAGATTGGAAAACCAATCCATGTTTGCAAAATGGCACAGGACAAAGTATGTCCACTGAAGCTCCTACAGGGGCCCAAAGTGCTTGATTTAGGAAACGAAGGTCAGTCAAGGAAAAGCTTTTTCTGGCAGTCATCCTTCACATAGGCACACTTGTGTTCATCCAAACCTGATCCCCCGTGGTGAGGACTTATCTAGAAAACCCCAAATGTCATGGGGAAGGGAGGGGCTCTCTCCTCCCTCAGAGCCACTCTTTCCACTCGGCCCTGCTTCCAGCACCATGGCCAGAGACTCTGGGAAGGGATAGGCCTAAAGGAGAGGAGCTGGATGAAGTCTGGGGTCATTAGTGAGGTGGATGGAGGCTATGGCAGACCCTCCCAATGCATGCTTTATCCTCACCTTGGAGAGTATTGTTTTTACTGTGGGCAACTGTTTATATATGTATGAGATTTTAAGTTAATAAATTATCTCCATGGCTATTTTCCTCATGTGGTCTTGATATCGAGTTGTCCCTTCACACCCCTCATCAGATCAGTGGGGCAGAGCTTGAAAGCAAGAACAGCACCCCAGGTTATCAGATGTTATTCTCCTCAGTATGTGTCAAAACAGCCGAAGCTTGGGTCAACAGAAAGAAAGAAAATGGTTTGCCATATCCTGATAGGTTTTCCTGGTTGACTTCAGCTCGCTCCCATTACGTGGACACCAAGTCTCCTCTAGGTTGTGTGGTTGCTAGAATGGAGGTTTCGATCTTTGTGCACCTCTGAGTCCCTTCCATGTGCCCGTCACCCAAACTGCTCAGCAAGGAAGAACTATCACAGCCCTTTGAGACAGGAAAAATGGTCCTTTCTAGTTGGCTTTAGGTGCTAAGAGATGTTAGGCGAGGGCTTGTGTGCCTGAAATGCCCAGTTTTGAGATCATACTGGTAGATTCAATTAACAGCCAGAGACCCTCTCCTGCCCCTTGTTCCCCCGGTCAACCTAGCACCTCCACCTGCCCAAGGAGACTGCAGGTACCCCTCAGAGGCAGAGGTGGTGAGGATATAATCATCACTCAATCAACTCCAAGCCCTATGCACCATCTTATTCAATGCTTATGAGAGTCATACTTTTAAGAAATCATTTGCATATGTGTTACTTACAAGCCACCTCAAGTCCTTGATGGAATGAGGACAGGGATACATCTATGCACACCTAAGTTTTCAGGGTGTCACCTTGTGCACCAATAATGAAAATGAGGCATAACAAACCCTAACTGAGGTCATCAGCTAGTAAAGAATAGAATTCCAACTCAGAATCTGGGGGTGGGAGGGTCATTATTCCCATCCCCCCCCTCCTTCCAGTCAAATTCCCAAATAGTATCAAGTCCACCTCCTATTTCTCAACCTGCCCCTTCACTCTTATCTCTGCTGGTGCAACAGTCTGTGCATTGGTCTTCCCGCCAGATGGCCTGGATTCATCCTTGAACAAGTGACTTTACCCTTCTTTGCCTCACTCTTGTCTTTAAATGGGGATCATAACAGAACCTACCACAAAAGGTTATTGGAGAGTGCAGTGAACTAATGCATGTCGAGTGCTCAGCACAGATAAGTAAGCACTCATAAGGGTTACCTGTTTCTGTTCTCCAGGAAGCTACCAGGGTCATCTTGCCATGTCATGCCCTGGCTTAAAAGTGTTGGATAGTTCCAGTACTTAGTTTCCTATTGCGCTTAAGAAAGAGGTTGGCCTTCTGAGCATAATGCACGAGGACCTTCATGGTTTGGCCCACTGTAGACCTCTGGCCCCTTCATTTCCCCACTGTTTCTTTCTCCTGACTTCTGTGCTGTGAACTTCCATAGTTCCTGAAGGCACTACGATATCCTTCTCCTGACCTTCTTATGAGCTTTCTTAGCCATTTGTACATCATTTATCACCACACTTGCTGGGCTAGAAATGCCTGTTTATTTGATCCCTCCTTTAGATGGTAGGCCACATGGTGGCCAGGATAAGATGTAGGTCTTAGCCGTCACTCACTCCCAAGAACTTAGCATGGTTCCTGGCACGTTATTTATGTATATTATTTATCAGTTAGATGGATAGGTAGGTGCATGGGTGAAAGGGAGGGAAAGGAGGGAGGGAAGGAAGCCATTAAACAGATCTGTGCCTCTAAAGTCCAGTACTCTGTACTATGTACTATGCCAGGCTGCTTGCCCCTCTCTCATAAAGGAGAAAGTGAGGGCTGTACTGAGGGGCTTAGGGCTTAGGGACACCTCCATTGCTCCCTCCTCATTCCCACACTGACTCGTATTTTCTTTCTAGAACAAACCTAAGATTTATAACTTTCTTGCTTAAAAATCCAAAGGACTCCACAACGCTTACAGGGCAAGGAGCATACCCCTTAGAGTGACATGCCAGGACTCAGCATCTGACCCCATCTCCCTCCTTTCTCTTCTACATTCACCTTTGCAACTCACAGCTGTTGACCACCTCCCAAAGACATGCTG